ATGAATGAATGAAAACTTTATTAACGTGTCGGTGTATTTACTAAGTCGTGTCAGTGTTATCACTAAGTCTTCTTCTGGCTTTTTGATCTACTAACATTTTCTGACTCAGGTTCCATCTTGCCACAGGATTTCTAGATCAAAATTTGATAACACGGAGTCGAAAAGCTAAAAAACAGCCTTTGAGCTTCACTGCTTAATTGTCCTACACTCACCTATGACTCACCCTGTCATCTATTCCATCCACATTGTAATGGTAGAACTCATATTTGCCCCGGACAATAGCAGACTCAACGACTTCCGAAGGTAAATCCAGGCCCTCGTGTACATCACCCAACATATCGATCACTCCACATTTCACGATCACAACACTATGACGCCCGCGAAACACTGGTCAGACACTAAAAGTAAAAGATATGCGCGTTGCTAAATCAGGGGGAACTTCTACAACATTCTCTGGGGAGGAGATAAATTCAGCAAAAACGTTAATTTACATTTTGACTCACGTTACAACAAGTATATTGTTCGAATGATCTGCAAGTTCTCATTTTAATGTCAATTACTAAGAAGTAAGTTGAATCTTACAAGATTATAACAAACAGAAGTTCCTGTCTTTGACTACGATATCACCCTCCCCCACTGGGTGACAATAGCTCTTGGCACATTTCGCGATTATTCTGCTGTTCGAACTTTCACTTCCTTGGTGAGTTTGTTGGCAAGTTGTCTTTCTGCTAACGAAAATAACCATCAGATTTCTCTTGAGGATCTCTGTGACCAGGAATGGTCAATGCAACGTCCAAAGAGGTAGTTCCAGTAGAAAATAACGGCCCGGCCGACGAACCGAAAGTTTTGTGTATCGTAAAAGACGAAACAACTACAGACTGGAAACACAGCAAACATACAGTTAATCTACCAGCTTCTACATTAGTGAAAGAATTATACTCTTACGTTGCTAAAGAAGTCAAATATGTAGAAGACACTTTCCTGTTAGTGTGGAATAAAAGTCTGGGAGAAGGCAACGAAGAGGTTGTGCTCAATGGAGAAAAGAACAGAACATTACAAGCTGTCGGGTTGGCGACTAACGGCAAAAAGAACAATGTCTTAATACGAGACAAAGATAACTTGCAACCAAAGAAAGTAAAGGTTAGTGAGCCAACGTCCATTTATTGTGCCATCGTGTCAAGTTGTTAGAATAATATGAGATGTTCAGGGTCACAGATCGAGAATTGATCGATCGATATCCAACACAATTGAATTGAATCAAATTGCGAGCTTGAATTCAACTGTATATTTGCTGTTAAATCCGTGGACTACAAATTAATATTAAGTGGACCTTACATTGAATTATTGGGTATCTACAATTTTTCAATATTTTAAAATGAAAAAAACAATGATATTAAATTTTGAACAAGTGGAGAAAAAAGCTATCACAAGAAATCAAACGTTGACTTACGGGTGTCCGGTTTACTCGGGGGAGTGATTAACACAACGGAAGAGTTAGCTTGTCTGCAGTTCTCTGAAAATATATAAGCGGAAAGACACTATCATTGTACATATACTCCTAACCCAAGAGGAAAAAGAGCTGTAGATATTCATATGTAATTAAGAAGTGGTGGTCCAATTTGAACATTTTACTCTAATTATTATTTGAAAGTATTGTTTGAGTGAAAGTTTTTGAGAAGTTGACAAATTTGTTTACTCTCTCTCTCTCTCTCTCTCTCTCACCACTTTCTTTCTGCACTTGATCTCAAAGCTTTGATTTTTGCACTTTTTACATACACATTTTTCATGGAACCATTGTGGAGATGCTTGTTTCAGTAATATACACAATGTATGTGCATAGTATAAAATTGTGACCTGTGTCCTTCTTAGTCCTCACTACAAATGAACTCCTTTTAGAGTCTGTGTTTTTTTCCTGTAAGTGTAAACAATTTCATAAGAAACATATTACTCCGACAAAAAAAACTAAAGTTGTGAGTAAATAGGTCTTTGGGTCATTTGTCCATTCAATTTGCGTTTAAAATCAAAAATTGAAAATTGTTGTCAATTTTTGATTTTCATGATTTTTTATCATAAAAAAATAACAAGGTACGAAATCAAAAATATTTGACTTTTTTGCTTTCAATAGAACATTGAAACAGAACTTATACTTTTACTTTAATCCTGTCAACAATGAAGAGAAAAATGAAACTGAGTGGCTATTTTGTTTCTCCAACAATGTTGCAGTCTGTGGCATGGCTTAGTTTTTCGGTTTTCGATGGAAGCCTGAAAATTGCAATCAATTTTCAGTTTTTGTTTTTTGGCCGAAACATTCCAAATCATTGACAGAACTGCCCCAGAGGGAGGGGGAGGGGTCCATTCGCATGGTAAATTGTTTGTCCCCAGGCCCCCTCCTCACAGCCTGGCTTCCCTTCTAAAGAGAGCAGTCTGGGAAGTCGTGCTCTCTTCAACTGTCACTTCACGGCCTTTCGCAATGTTTGGAAACGTTTTCTGAATTTTGTGTCTTTTCGTCGCTTAGTTCTGTCCATTATGGCGAGCAGCAAGACCTTCAACATTAGCCAAGAAGGAAAAAAGTCTTAGTTTTCGGAACTGGAGTGGCTGATGTAACCATATCAAGACTTCCTCAAGCTTTTCAAGCACCATATTGTAAAACATGGATCACAGGTGGCCAAAGCTCACAATGTTAGGAGTTATCTTTTTTTTTCACTTTATGCAAATGTTCAGCGTAATGTGCCATATGGCATATACTATTACATAACGACGAATTTGACTACACAAAACATGACTCTTGCCTTGCAGCATATGGTAGTGTTGTGTTACAACGGTTTGACTTTATAAAGGTTTGTATGGGAATGCAACTGTTTTGCTTGAGAAGTCTATTATTACCCTGTTGCTGTGTTGTATTCTTTGTTGTTTGGCAGCTCCTCAGGCCGATCTAACGTGACTTTGGCAAGTTATCATTCTGTGGGTTTCCACTAGTAGTCACATCATAGGGAAGCGTTTTGCCTTCCATTTTAACATCCTCATAAAAAAGGAACTGACATATTAACTGGTATCAAGAGAAAGGACATTTCAATCTCTTTTTAGACTCTCTTTGGAGAGAAACCAACCAGCCAAACATCAAAGTCGAAACACGAGTACTCCATCATGAAGGGATAAGGCAACAGACAAAATCTCTGGGGCAGTTCTGTCAATGATTTGGAATGTTTCAGCCAAAAAAAAAACTGAAAATTGATTGCGATTTTCAGACTTCCATTGAAAACAACAAAACTAAGCCATGAAAAGACAAAACATTCACAAAATGTTCCCAAATGTTGTGAAAGACCGCAAAGCGACAGATGAAGAGAGCGCAACTTCCCAGGGAAGGAAGCAAGGCTGGAGCAAAAAAATTAACCATGCAAATGGACCCCTCCCCCTCCCTCTGAGATAGTTCTGTCAACGATTTGGAAAGTTTTAGCCGAAAAACAAAAATTGAAAATTGATTGCAATTTTCAATTTTCAACTTTTAGACTTCTTTCAAAAACAGAAAAACTAAGCCATGCCACAGACTGCAACATTGTTGGAGAAACAAAATAGCCACTCAGTTTCATTTTTCTTTTCATTGTTGACAGGATTAAAGTAAAATGTAAGTTCTGTTTCAATGTTCTACCAAAAGGAATAAGTCAAATATTTTCAATTTGGCCCTTCCTTATTTTTTTCTGATAAAAAATCATGAAAATCAAAAATTGACAACGATTTTCAATTTTTGATTTTAAATGAAAATTGAACAGGCGAATGACCCATGGACCTAAATACTGTCATGACTTACAACTTGAATGTGAGCACTTCTATGTAACCTGGCTTTTTTGGAGAACTGGGAACTTTACTACGATTATCAGTTGAGTAAGGCATGAGGGAAGTTTGGTTACGAAGTTTTGGCCTAAAATTTTTGGTGTTGTCACGGCCAACTTACCTCATTTCTGTTGGTAACAATATCAACAGCCGTTGGTCGCCTGTCGCATCGCCTACAATTTGATGTGCTTTGCTGCCAATGACGTCAAAGGCTGACAAGTTGCGATGGATACGGAGACAGTTGCTTGTGACCACAACACAATTTTTACGTTAAAACTTGGTGACCAAACTTTCATCCCACCTTACTCAACTGATAATCGTAGTAATTTTTTCCTTTGGTGAAATGAGGCAGTGATGTCATGTTGACTTTAAAAAGTGGCTTGGCAAGGTAAACATATCTTCATACTGGAAGATTCTTGAAAACAAGAGAGCATGCCTTTGAAACAGTGTCATCAAACATTGGGAGATAACTTTTTTAGTTTTTACTTGTATTGGGCTTCCAGGATAGTGATTTTTAGAACACTGACGTCATCAAACAATGACAAGAAAAAAAATATATAAATTGTGTACTGCAGGTCACATTCTTGTCCTGCAGTAGGCAGGCGTTTCATTAAGGGCTGGGCACGGGGCAAATTGAGAATGATTTTGCTGGGCTGGTTTAACATTCTAGCAGAAAGTTTTTGCCAATAAAAAAGTTCAGTTCAAATAGTTTTGCTTGCCTGTGAAAACCTGTTGCCCTTCTGCGTAAAATGTTAGTGATACCACTGAGTACAGGATAGTGGCACTCTGTTGATATAACTGTTCATTGCTCTCTCCCAATCCTTGCAGGATGTAACAGATGACACAATTACAGAGAGTGTGTCTAATCTGTTCCAAAGCAGTGCCAACACGAGCTACTATTCCCCTAGTGACAGCTACACCTTGGGGAAGTCTGAAACAGGTAAAAGGTTATATAATATGGCTTTTTGATCATATAAAATCATTCTTATCCCATTAGCTCCCTGTTCTTCTTAGTCAGTTGGCTGTGAGGAAAGGCATGGTGCAAAGAAACAATTTTTTTCAAATTTTTATTTGTTCTTTCTTGGACAGGATTTTGCCATACAGACCATTTCTAACATAAGTTGTACATATTTTTGCTTTTGAAAGCTGGAAAATTCAAGGCGCGAGTAAACAACTTGCTAATCTAGCTTGCTTGAGCCATACTGGGTAATATGGCCCTCAGTCGTTTTTGTACAGACCTCGCTCTCGATGCTGTGCTTGGTCTGTATCATCGTGACTTCAGGCCAATACTCCCCAGTATGGCCATGGTTATTAAGAAGTTATTTCTTTTAATTTGAGTAAATAGTTCACAGTATTTTAACTTTCTCCAGTAAAAATAGCATGACTTTTTATGGTGGAAGTGTTGATGACACCTGACTGTATTTCACAGAAGCAAAGAAATGAGTAATCAGCACTCTATCCAGTGTCTGCATGTAAAATCAATAACGGATTTATGCAGGGTAACTGCTGTAGTAAATGAATTAATATTTATCATCGTACGTGTTTGTTATCAAGAATGATAGAATGAACTATTTCTGAAGAAAAAAGGCTATGGTATATCAGATATTACCGCAACAGCAAAGCTAATCAAATAGACCCTCTACACCAGGTTAGAACTTAAATGTGCCAAAAAAGGACAGTTACTTCTGTTATCTATAAGTCATGATTATTATTGTTTTGCACTATAGGATTTGTTGGTCTTGTGAACCAGGCCATGACATGCTATCTTAACAGCCTGTTACAGACACTTTTTATGACCCCAGAATTCAGAAATGCTATTTACAGGTTAGTAAGTGTGTGTATCAGTTAAATTGGTGCTGTTCATATACCAGTTACCAGTCAATTCAAAGTGTAAGTTGCATATCAGTGCCAGATTTTGGAACTTCATTTGCAGTAGTTGACAACAGAGTTCCTTTCTTTTCTCTTCTCTTCTCTTCTCTTCTCTTTTCTTCTCTGCTCTTCTCTTCCCTTCCCTTCCCTTTCCTTTCCTTCCCTTCCCTTCCCTTCTCTTCTCTTCTCTTCTCTTCTCTTCTCTTCTCTTCTCTTCTCTTCTCTTCTCTTCTCTTCTCTTCTCCTTGCTTCTCTTCACTTCTCTTCTCTTCTTTTCTCCTCCAGTCGTACAAAAACTTGGTGATTAAATTTTGCTTTCCACATACCACGTATTGCTATGATGTAATGATCTCATGAATTGGTTTTTTATCTCCATTGCTATAACCTGTTTTGATTCCCTTCTTTTTTCACATCACCTGACATTTCTATTAAGTAATGTACCAGTGCTATAAGGAGAAATATATACTTGACCACTCTTTGGGAAGGTGTTGAATGACGGATGTGTTACTCTGCAGGTGGGAGTTCACTGGAAGTGAAGACGAAGCAGCCAAGAGTATTCCTTATCAACTTCAGAAGTTGTTTCTTCACTTGCAGGTATGATAGTTACTGAAGTAACTCTACAATATCTTCTTGTAATTGAATAGGCCATTTCTGAGTTGGCTTTTGCCTCTGTGTCAAAACAAGTCTTTGTTGAAAACCTTTTATATGAAAAATGTGTTCCACCTACAGGTTTATTTTCATGCAAATCAAACTCTCTTTTATATGAAAGGTTTTGCATGAGGACTCGTTTTGAAAGAGAGTCACAGGGTTAACTTCAAAAATGGCCTACAGTATTGAACCGTGCTTGAAATTTGCTTTTTTCATATCTGAGGAGGCTATCAATGAGAGCAAACCACAGATCCATGTGATTTATGATTTTTGACTTCTTTCAAAGCAAAGTTAAAATGGTCTGTATAGTTTAAACAAGATCTTCACAACTAAAAGCTATTTAGTAAGTCTTTCTGGTGCTCGGTTATGATGTCTGATCATACTGTAAAAAATTTTGTCAGACAATGTCCCATGACCGACTGGCATTTCCAGCACTGTGTATTAACTATTGTGTCCAACTTTTCTGTGTAGCACCTGACTGATTTGTATGCCTTGATATACTTACTAGACAAGTTCCAAGCGAGCTGTAGAGACCACTGACGTCACCAAGAGTTTTGGATGGGACAGCAGTGAAGGTATCTGATGAATAAGTCTACATGTACATACATGTATGTGATTGTCTAGATACAGTCCAAATGTTTTGTCTGTGAGGACCTCGTTATTGTAGGCATTTTTCAGGTTTTGATAACTAATGTTGCTAAATTATCTTATCCTTGAATGATTGTGTCGATCATATGTGGCAATTGATTATTGTGAGGCCATCTGTGATCAAGCAGCTTGCTTAGTTCCTTGCCCCCGAGTGGGGGATAGGGCCGGAGATCAATGCTCGCCATCTGTCCCTATTC